AATTTGAGGTCATCCACTCACACAAAGGCATCAAATTGTAGCCTTTCATACAGTTTTCAATTCATTAATTCATTTGATTTTATGCTCAAAAGTTAAAGCAGTTATGATGCTATTTATCTTAGTTTTTTTTATTGTATAAAATTGTTTTAATTGTTGAATGTTTTGTGCAAATACTAAATTTAACCAATTTAATGCATACAATGAGTTACTCTAAAAGGCAATTTTTAATGTATTCTGTAGTATACGTTTATATTTTAGTAAAGAATTTATAAAATACATCATGATCAATGTAGCATTGCAATTGTTTCCTAAATTATTAGTGCATTAACTGGAATTACTTTGTACAAAGGTTATAAACTTTCTAACATTAAAATGGTATTAAAATACTTTGAAAATTAGAATATTTAATTACAATTATTATTCTTGGTAAATTTAATTGATTAAAATCCAATTTAGTGTACAAAAACTTAGTTATGCTTGATAATCTTATATCCTTTTGAATATTATTCTAGCTACTGTTGAAATCAAATATCTTTTTGACAATTGTCTCATTAATTAACATCAACACATAACTTAAGTAAAATATTTATTTACTTTTGTTTATTTAGGTTTTACAGAAAATTCATTACATTTTATCGTACACTTGATTATATCTTATACAATACATTGAAAGTAACATTTTTAAAGTATTTAAAAATTTAATACAAAAATGAATTTATTTAATATACTTAAGTATAGAAAATTGCTTGTTAAACAAATCACAAACATTAGAAATGGTAATTATTGTTAGGCTTTACCTAGAAGTTCATTGAGTGCCAGTATATACTGCTGAGCCATTTGTAAGGTTTCATACTTTGATAGTTTGGAGTCATCGCCGATTCCTGGGACCACTTCTCGGAGTCTATCGAAAGCCGTGTTCAGTGAATGCATTCGTTTCCGTTCCCTCGCATTGGCGGCTAATCGTCGCTTCTTGAGCACCACTACCGGTGCGCTACTTGTGTCCAGTAGTTTCGCTAACTTCTTCTTACTCTTGGCTTTTCTCGTCACTTTCGTGGCCACCAATTGGTTGTCATTTGTCAGCACATAATGTTTGGTTTGTTTGCATTCATTGGAAACGTTTCTCTTATGAGTTTCGGTCAAATGTTTTGTAATAAACAGTCTTTGATTAGAGGACTCATCAGAAGGCGATCCACAGGAGAAGCCCTCAATGGACTCGACGTACAATTGATGGGCGGAAACGGAGTAATGAGTGGAAGTGGAGCTCATATTCTCAAGATTTGCGTTAAACAATGCAAACGAATTGATGTCCAGAGGATTCCCCGCATTGTTAGCCGTGTTTTGCTCTTCGTTTGGGAAAACGGAAGAATGGTTTTGATAACAGATATTGTTTTTGTCAGTCATTTCCGATATAATCAAAAAAAGACTTTTAAGACGAGAGAGAAAACTTCACAAATAAATTATTGATAATGTATTTGTATTGATGGCATCGCAGGAGACGTACAGTCCTAACAGTGCCAACAGTCCGGAGCGCTCTCTCAAAAAAACGCTGCGAAACAGGAGGTCTTTCGCTGTTGTCTATCGCTGTCTCTCTAATAGTACTCCTCTTTCGGAATCAAACAAAATACTGGTTGAAGATTGAAGAGTGAGGAGAGAGCGGAGAGAGAGAGAGAGAGAGAGACTGGAGGGACAGCACATCGCGAGAGTCCCACCACCACAACCACCACTCAATTGCATGATTAATGCCATTGAATTTTAATGATCTGCCACTTAAACCATTATTTGAATATCAAAATAAGTTTTTTAAATTACACTCAATTTATTAGGACTCCCAAAAAGTGACATAAAAAGATAACAAAATATACAAAAATTTATTTTCCAAGATAAAAACTTTAATAAATGTATGTATATTTTTGCGTAATAATTATCATTTTTAATTATAGAGCAATAAAAAGGTTCATTTATATTTTTAGGACACAATCGTAGAAATAAAAATACATTTCTCACTATTTATTAAAATTCTAGACAAACAAAAAAGTGGTTGTAATTCGCGTTGAATTCAAATGCATTATCAGTTATAATGAGTCGAAATAAATAATGGGAATCATAATATTTTTTGACAAAATAACTGATACTATGATATCATCGGCAAAAGGGGGGACTGGAGTGGTAGTGGTGTCTCACCTGCTCCTATGTTGCCAACTGAATGATCATTAGTGGCGCACCGTTACCACGGTTAGGGAGGTTAGGGACTACTGGCGGAATAAATAATCCTTTATTAGTCAACTCAGACAACGAGACAAACTTTCTCTTTCAATGTTGGAAAACAACATTCATTTCGTTATTTTTCTAAAAACTTGTAAAAATGTAATCATAAAAGAAATAAATAGAAAAAAAAAACTTTTTTCTCCAATTCGCGAGTTTGTGCCCAAACCGTGAAATAGCTCTTACAGTGGCGTTCAATAAGTATAATCATTTTCATATATGTATTGGTGGAGGGGACAGGTGTGTGTACGTGTGTCTATGCATGTTGTAAACACACGTCTTGGTGTCTGTGCCGATGAGTCGGTTACTAAAGAAACCGTTACTTCAGTCACTATATTCACTATACATATCCCAATCATGTCTTTGTCATAACACCTGAACATTTTTGGGTCACAATTGTGTTTACAACTGATAAAGTCATACAACCGTTAGAAATAAGATATCCACAGAAATTGAGTCAAATATTCCGGCACTAAGTTCTTAATACATATTATTTTGCAAACACTCGTGAAAATTAGTTTTTCTTTAAGAAATTTACGCTAAATTTTAGTCAAAAACACCAAATTATTGGAAAATTATGTTATTCTGTAGTTTTTAACTCTCGAGACACTATTCACTGAAAAAATTGTGTCAAATAGTGGTTTGCAAATAATGCCCACAAATTATATGTCTATTCATGTTTGTAATTTAAATTTTATTAACAATTTTCAAACTTAAAATTAGCGAAAGGTGCACGGTGCACCTCCATGCACCTTTATTTATCCATTCTTAAAATAATTGCCCAGGCATTTAATTAGCGATTAGTTAAGAAATGAAATAAAATATTAAAAACAATACATTCCGTGACTATAATAGGAATGGATGTCTGGATACGGAAGCAAATAAAGTTGTGACTAATTTGTGTTTTTCTATATTTCAATGCAATTTATTTGTTATAAAAGGTATTCATTTGTCTTCACCTGTTTTAGCATCAGTTGGAGAGACGGCACACAACAGTCATTTGCATCTTTGGTACCGAAAATGATGACAGCCCTCACCATAGCCTCAGCAGCACCTGTCCATAATTACGGTGACATAACTATACTGTGGTGTCTCTCGAGAGGTATATCTCTTCAATCAGACATCAAAAGCAATCCATTTTGTATAATATTTTAGACAAATTTTACGATCTTTTAAAATGTTGCCATTTATTGTACTTTATTTATTTCTTATTTGTTCCCACATTTAACACACACACAATATATTTTAACCTTTCTCATAAAATCTAAAACTTATTTAATTAATAAAACTTCTATCATAGCATAAAGCAGAACTACTATTACTGTATATTACAATTATATTTTGGCATAAAATAGTATATACTGTAGTTAACGCAACAATTCACATTGTAAAAGGTGATTTTGTGCACTGACTTAATATAAATTATACATATAATTACAAAATATTAAACAAAATTAACATTAAATATAAGTTATATTTATATTATATATAATTTATAGACAACATACGACAAACAAAAATGTGATGTAAGTTATTCATAAAAATGTAATTCAACTAATATGAGATTTATTTATTTAGATCCCGTTCACTCAGCAGTCTAAACCGTTTGAACTGAACCTGTTCCTTTGCTTTCGGGGCACATTAAAGCCAGTGTAGGGACAGTTACGTCGGGACTCCACTCTCAACAAAAACGTACGGATTTGCATCGGTTTCAAAGTGATTATAAACGTCTGGTTTATATTATACTCGCTCTCACTGCTCGTCAAATTCTCGTTCACTGAAACATATTTAATAAAAAAAACAATTTCTTTAATTAGATTTCTCTCATTAATTACGAGTTGAGAGCAGACCTGAGTTGTCGATGCGATCGTAGGCCGACTTGTAGTTGGCGTAGGGATCAAAGTCAGGCGTCCACACCATTCGCTTGCGCTCCGATGCACTCAACTCCTGGTTCGCCGATAGTGTCATCTCTTTGACGCTAATTATACGGAAAGTTGTGAACAAATTCCTGAGCGACACGTCCGTCGGTGTGGAGAACTCCGAGTCCTCATTGATTTCGTAGAAGTGCTCGAGTCTTATGAGGACGTAGTCGTCATCCCAGGCCTCAAGTGTGAGTAAATGGATATTCTTTGGCAACAGTTTGTTAATTCCCACGAAATTGATGTAATCGTCGGATCGGGATATGGCTCGCGTTCGGGTTCTGCCGGCCGTCGGAACACTTTTGCGGAACAGAGGGATGGGCTTCCAGGTCAGGGTTTTGCTCATTGTCCGCATTTGGCGTATACTCTGCTGAATGCCATTAATGATAAGGCGATGCTTTCCTCTCACGATAAGTCCTTTGCCATCAGTTCCTGAAACACAAGTAAAAACAATCCGTGTTATAATGTAATGGCAACAAAATGGCATATAATAAATACCCGGTTCGTTGAGCGCCTCCTCCATACCATAGCCATCGTCGTAAAGTAGTCTCCTGTGAATCATCACCTCAAGAGATCCGTCAGACATACTGCTGCCACCCTCTGCCCTATCTGTCAGGACAGTCATCTGCAGGTCCTGCGCGTAGTCCCTGATGAACATCCAGCTGGTGATGGGGTAGTAATTACTGGCCACCGTTTCGGTGGTCTCCAAGTCCCAGGTCGGCCTGTGGTGACGTATTCTGCGAATGGTTTCCCTCGAGTTGGAGTCCGTAAAGAAAGTTCCGTTGTTTTTGAAGTTGGTGTCATATTTCGTGATAATCTCGAGCCCCTGGTCGTACATCCAGTTCCTAACAGGTATGGGCCCCACAACCCAATCAAACTCAATGTAATCGTAGTCGCGATACAGGCGTATGACTTGAGACAACCACGGGTTGAATGTCTGGTGGATCTCATCGACGAGTCTTCCTCTGACTATCTTATATTTGGCGGCATTTGAGACCATATGCGGGATGTGATGGCTCGGGTTGAAAGCGTAGGCGCCGGAAGGCTTTTCGCCTTTAAATCTGTCCTCTCCCTGATAGTACCAAAAGTTCTGCGAAAACGGTATTAACTGCCCGTTCTTAAGGCCCACTTGTTTTAAGAGTCCTGTCTGTCCGTCAATCTTAATACTAATCCTCCCGTTCTCTAGGATCACATCCGCAGAAGATGACGAGCCATCTGTTATCTGACTTTCTTGACTCGTTATAATGCTTTGATAGTCTATGCGACAGATTTACGCATAAATTTAGTTTTCAAATGAATTTATTTGTATTATTTGTTATACAAACCACTACTGATTCTGTCGACCATAAAACTCGAGTATCCGAGTGGGGGTAGTATTGCCAGGAATAGCAGCTCCGAGACGGCTATTGAATTTCTTTCAGGCAAAGACATTATCTTCGAGTTAATCGGAACTATCTATTGAGTTAGGAATCAAACAATTTGTTGAGTTTTCATATGAATTACGAGAAGATAGGCGACAGTGAATGACCTGCGACTGAATGAGTCCTCCGGAGGCGTCTCTCACGCGATACCTGAAGTCTCTGACGGGGAGTCTAATGAAGTGTTGGACGGGATGTGCCAATGGGTTATAAATAATGACAGCGGCGTCCGACTCGAAGTCGATCCTCTCAGTGACCGCACACTCGCTTATATTCAGTTGATTACAGAATGAAAGACTAGAATAACTGACGTATCCTTCGTTTTGTAGCAAATAATAGTAGGACTCAATGACAGCCTCCTGTGCCTCGGCGATGGCCGTCGACGTGAACCGGACGTAGTCGTTGTTGACGGCCTGCTTGCAGGTGCCGGTCACCGCGTCGTGGTGTTGCAGTAGACCCAGAGCCTCCTGAAGGGCCGTCAGCTTCGGGGACAGCCTATCGCTCATCCGCGACAGTACTGACAGTTGTTTAGCGCTTTGTATTAAATTGTTTGCGTTTTTGATCAGATATTTCAGTGACGGTCGACTCGTGAAATAGCCTGAAATGTGTCATTCAATGCATTATAGTTTTTCATTACTTTGTTCGTGATATCATATATGAAATTTATTTTTTATTCATATTTTAATCAATCCATTAGTGGTTAACGAATGAAAATTATATGTAACGATCGTTTGTGTGTTTTCTATACAACTTCTCACAACTAATAGTTTTATAGCAGATCTGAATAAAGATTACATCTTAATATTGAATTGATTGTCGAATAGATATCCTATTTCTCAATATCGCTCTTAACTTGAAATATATATACAGTATATATATTATGTAATGAAATATATAATTTAATAATTGTAGCGTCAAACGAATTTGAGAAAATGCAAATTTGAGTTTTCTTTTATGATAATAAAAAGCATTTTTAGCGAAATGTCGTCAAATAAATACATGATTAGGACCTCATTCTGGTTATCGCTCATAAAACTTATGAGTTAAGAAACTGACGATACTTATAAAACTTATGGCATATCATATAAACTTGAAAATATGGAAAATACAAATTTTATTTTTCAACATTTCTTGTAAATTGAGGTTTTGTTTACTTTTTCGGAGGAGATTTGGTTTTTCTCAATGTATCCCCACTTATAAGTCAGTTAAATATAAAAGGATTTGCTTAATGATACGTTATCGCAATCTAGACTACATGAGCGACTCAATCACACTTTCAATGAGTAGTTCCCAAATTAGGTTTACGTAATACAGATGTGGAGTGAAAGCGAACTACATGTCCTAATATAGCGGTTATACATAAGAGTCTATTTTTAAAAACTTACATAAATCTCATGTAATTATCATTTCTGCTAACGAAAGGACAGGTTTAGTAATCCCTGACCTAATTAACGGGAAGTTTAGTGAAAAACACAAACACATCGTGTAATCACTACTAAACTCGAAAACTTTTCGACTCAACTTTTTAATTAAAAATTTTCGTATCAATGAGAAAAGGCATGTAGGGATCAAAATTGCTAACTGACCCGTCCAGTAGGCATTCCAGGCGTCGGCGTACGGAAAGAAGTCGTCCAGTTTGATAGGCCAGGTCCTATTGGCCCCATTCAGCGCCTTGAGATAGCAAGAGGGCGACGAATACACGATATTCACTCTTTCCTTCTCCTGCAGCGAGTTTATGGCACTCATCAGTCGATCCAAATTCTGGTACCAAATGTTGGCGTTCCGGTAGTAGAAGTCCATTCCCATCGTTATGATCGTGTGATTCGTGCCGTACTGAAGGCTCTGCTCCCGAGCTATCCGTATGAACTCTTTGGCCTTTCGGATGGCGTTTTCCGATGTAATGGGTTCGTCGAAACAGTTGACGTCAAAGCAAAAGTTTTTGGGCGGCCAATACACGTTGGGCAGAGTGCCGGTGAACATGTCGGCGCTCTTGCCCAGACTCGGGCTCGCCTTCCATATGAATTCCATCGTTTGCGTCCTTTCCCGTAGCAACTTGTCCTGGTAGTCGATGCGACCCAAAAACATGCCGTCGAAACCCATTTGCGACAATAGGGAGGCCTGTTCTCGCGAGTGGCCGAACGGATCGATTTGCCACCCGATGCGAGGGATACCGCACTCGCCGAACGTCCGGTTCAGCCACCGGTGACCGACTGTCATCTGGTCGATGATCGCCGAGTAATGGGTGGCCGCCTCGTCGTTCATACTCCACCCGCCGTTTATGAACTCCAGTTGACCTCAAGTTATAGTAGTTTGAAGTTTTAGTACACTGTTTTAGCTATGGTTTGTATGTATGGTTATACCATTGTTGACCAGCAAATGGACCCTGCTCCTAATGGTGTGGTTCTGTTCATTATACCATCGCGAGAAGAATGATGTCTCCACAGCAATGAACTTACGGTTTGACACCTCAAACAGGGTCTGAACCACAGAGTCGTAAATCATGCGCACGTCTTGTGGATTAAGCAAATTGATTAACATGGTTAATTTAATGAAAATAAAATAAAATCAATATGAAAAACTATTTAACACATATTTTAAGTCAATTCAAGTCCTGTAATATAGATGTTTAAAACGTGATACGCTTGATTTGTGTCAATTTTATGGTTTATAGTCAGTAATTGTGTCTAAACTGTAATTGCAATTTAAAAAAGAAATTATCTCTTAATTGAATTTAACGTAAAAAGAGATACTATTAATAAAACATATTTTAAAATATTGAATTTGCGTGACTCTAGTTATTAAATCTTTTCAAATGACAAGTAAAAACATTTTTGTTATTTCGCTTAAAGCTTTTTAATTCAAAACAATATGTTTGGAAAAACTTTTTTATTTTAATTTCCTTTTAATTCGTTATCTAATCAAATTGACTATAATTTTAAATTACTTATGCAATTGTCTCTTACTATTAACATTTATTAAATCCATTAAATTTTTCCCAGTATCCAATACTAATTTAATTAAAAATTTATATTAAACAGTAAATTTTCTTTTTTAATCAAAAACTAAAAATAAAAATACTATCATAACATGATTTTTAACATAAAAATCTTCTTTTAGCAAAATTTTTTCTCAAATCTTAAACTAAAATCAAATTATAATTTATTCTAAACTTCAAAAATATATTCAGATAACAGCATAATATGAATATTATATCACACTTAGATATAAATTAGGTCTCGAGTACTAGTATTGGCTTTGCATCAAACATCTATTTCTGGTTTATTTCCAAACATACCATTTGTTTATAATAATCTTAAATTTGTATTTATTTTGATTGCATTATTTGCCTAATTTGTGGGGAATTTTCCGCACAATTTGCGCCCAAAAACTACTTACATCTGTAGTAGTAATCATCGTAGGTCTCCGTCCAACCCGTGTCCAAATGGGTATGACATACGATATGTATATTCAGAAAGTGGTCGACAGTCGTGGGACAGGACTTTAAAACACAAAAATCATACATAGAAAAAAGTTTTTTAATTAAAAAATTATTTGATAAGCGGAGAGAAGTGATTGACACAACACTTACTCCATATCCACAGATAGGTCTCCTATGCGCGTACGTTGGCTGCGAAGTCGTCGTATGGATAATAAAAACAAACAGCAAAAGCCAAACGTATGCCATAGCCATCAGAGTCTTGTGGTCACAATGTTTTCCTCCTCAGATTAATCGGCACTCCAGTGAATCCGGTGGTTGTGTTGTTGTCTGATTGAAAAGGCACTGAAACTTGTGAGAGAAACACAAAAAACTCCTAAAACATCACTACCACTGATGCACTGATATGTTAAGTGATTTAATAGGAGTAAAATTCCTTTAACTTTATTCGCGAGAGATTAATCGTGGCCTTCAAGTGGTGTAGTATTTGCCTCAGCTTTTTGTGGCAAAAGTTTTCTGCACCTGCCTATAGGGAAACCTGTCTCTCATCTCTATGTATATAATCCCTTCCCATCTCTTTTCATATGCATTAAGTCATTGCAATTTTGAACTTCAAATTGCAATTCATTTGTTTATTCCATTCATTATACTCGCGAAACAATCACTTAATTCATTAATGCATCCAAAACTCGCTACTATTACCTAAAACTACAGTATTTTTTCATCGTTACAGTTATTTATTTATTTATTACTTATTTGTTTGAAAGTATTTTACAGTATTTTCTAAGTATTTTATATTTAATTGATATCTTATTCCTAATACGAGTGATTAAGTTTGGATTAAATAAAACTCATCCGGAAGTGATTGTTGGTATTATTTATAGTGAATGGATAAAAGGACCACAAATGTACATACAATAGAAAAGTTTATTCATGAGGTTAATTATAAAGTGAAATTAATTCAATGAAGTTCATTGCAGATAAAGTTACCCGGTGCAACATCCCTTTTCTCTATGCATCTCTCTCTCTCTCTCTCTCTCTCCGACTTAGTTCTTGTTTTGCAAATCATTTTACTGTTAAAAATATTATTGCAAATAATTTCTCAGTTGAGTTTATGGTTAATGAACTTTTGTCTCGCGACTCGTATGCCTAATGTTTGTCCTCAAATCAGGAATCAGGATATTTTCAAGATCTGTAGGCCTATTGTTTTGATTGTAGCCAACACTACACTACACTCTCTCTCTCTCCCACTCATTCATGACTCGTTCACTTCTGTCACCAATTTCTTACTGCAATGAACCGTATATTTGTTTCACTAAATAATTGTTTTAATATAATAATCATAATAAGGAAAATGAATTCATATTTAATTGAATGTATGGAGTGTGTGAGTGCTCTACAGAGAGATGTAGATTTAAATAAACAACAAATTTAAAGCAAAAATCATTCATTCATTAAGCAGTTATAAGTCGAGACCTAATTTTATTTTTAAAGTCTACAGCGGAGTGACAGAGGAGTGTAGTGTAGTGTTGGCTACAATCAAAACAATAGGCCTACAGATCTTGAAAATATCCTGATTCCTGATTTGAGGACAAACATTAGGCATTTTATTTTATTTGTAAATTTTAAACATTTTGGTTCAATATTTGTCCTAAATTGCCATTGCATTCATACGATACCATAGCATATATAGTATAATACCTGCGAGAAAGCTCTCTCTCTCTCTCTCTCTCTCTCCGACTTAGTTCTTGTTTTGCAAATCATTTTACTGTTAAAAATATTATTGCAAATAATTTCTCAGTTGAGTTTATGGTTAATGAACTTTTGTCTCGCGACTCGTAATTTTGAAGTCAATTTTTGAACAATACGCTCAATACTTGTCGCAAACCTTTTTTCTCTCATTTCAATTCCAAACAGTCGTCTGACAAATAGCTTTTCAATTGTATGATAAGGACTAATGTCTCCTCTTTCGCCACAAATGTCATCAAAGTGTGAACTTAAGAGACTGCAGGAGAGCGGCGATGAGATCAATAACAATGTGATAATCACCACTCCATCCAAACGCACATCCAGTGATACACCCGCTAAATGTGATGACAGTGTCACTCATCGCTCATTTATCATCAAATCTTACGCCAAAAGCAATGTTCGTTACATTTATTACACGAACGGATCGATTGTGTGGCGAAACTGTTTCCTCTTCTTTGTGCTTCATTTGGTGTATTTCTTCAGTTACTACGTGTGTTTGGCCAACAAGTGTTGGTACACCTGGATCTTCGGTCAGATTTATTTCATGATTACCGCCAATCAATAAAAAAATTTTCATTTAACTCAAAATTCTTGTTTTAATATTTGTTTTTCCGATTGGCAACCGATAGGCTATTGGTATGGATTGGCCGGAGGTATGTATAAAAGTTTTATGACTTAAATGTTTGCCATAATATTGAAGATCTAATAACTTGTAGGTCTGGGCGTCACCGCTGGAGCGCACAGACTATGGTCGCACCGATCATACAAAGCGCGACTTCCGCTTCGCATACTATTAATGGTTTTTCACTCCATCGCCGGACAGGTATGATATTTGGCAACTAATATATTTGTACTGCGAGTTCACCTCAAGAAATGCAATCCTTGTGTTGACACACAGAACGACTTGTATGAGTGGTGTCGCGACCATAGAGTACACCATAAATACTCGGAAACAGACGCCGATCCGCACAACTCAAGGCGCGGCTTCTTCTTCGCACACGTCGGTTGGCTTCTCACCCGAAAACATCCCGATGTCCTCATTAAAGGCAAACAACTCGACTGTCAGGATATACTCAACGATCCGGTCGTATGGGTTCAGAAAAAGTATGATTTCATTGATTGCGTGACAAAAGTGAAATCAAATGATAACTCTTAATGTTCACTATTTTGTGGTCAGATATTATCCGCTGTTTTTTCTGGCATTTTGCTTCGTGTTGCCCACAATGATTCCGGTCTACTTCTGGTCGGAGACCTGGTTCAATTCATTGATCGTAGGCGTCCTCTGGAGATACTGTACAGCATTGCACTGGTATTTAGAAATTATTTGTTAAACAAAAGTTAACATTTTCAGTAAATCAATGAATTTGTTTCGCAATTATTACCAGCACTTGGTTTGTCAACTCTGCTGCCCATATGTTTGGAGACAAACCGTAAGCAAATGAAAGGCATTTCTGGAGATATTTTCAAAAACTAAACTCTAATTTACGATATGTTTAGATATAACCCGCGAATAGAGCCGCGAGAGAACCCTTTCGTATCATTCGGCGCCTTTGGGGAGGGTATGTGTCGACTAAACTTATTGTTTTGAATGAAGTTTTGAAGTTTTTATAAATGTATTTCTACATATTAATGATTTCAGGCTTTCATAACTATCACCACGAGTTCCCATTTGACTACAAGACCAGTGAAATGGGATGGAAGCTCAATGTGACCACCGTTTTCATCGATTTCATGGCATTCATAGGACAGGCCTATGATAGGAAGCAATTGTCGCAGAAAATGATCGACGAAAGGAAACTCAAAGTGGCTGAAAATTCATTCAAATAGTCGTCTTATTATTGAAATATATCTGTTTTTTATTGCAATTTATGCAAAATTCTGGCGACTCTTATGAGATATAATATTATTTCAAACTATCATTAAAACATCGACATTTCCATTGAAATTTTAAGTTATTTTTCAATTATTAGTATTGTTTATTGAAACAGTGATTAATGTTTCCGAGTATTTAAGTATTATATTAAATATTGATTATCTGCATGTATAACATTTATTTATGATTTATTTTAGGAAATGTGTTCATTATTTCGATGTAAATATTCAATTCAATCTAAAACTACAAAAACCACTATTAATACAGTAGTAATAGTCTATTTCAAGTGTTATTTGTGGTTACATTCGGATATTGTGTATTCAGTTTTAGATTACTAATATTAATTAAAAATATCTAGGCAATCAAGCAATGCAATTCATTAATAGGAAATACATTAATTTTTGATGTTTTTAAACAGCAAAAGAGTTTGAAATAGTCAAAATGTAATCTCAGACTTACTGTCAAACAGTTTTTTTGAAATTTTTAAATAAATTAAATATAATTCTATTTTAGATATATTTTAATAATAATTCCATGTATTTACGGTGTATTTGCAGTCCATTTGTTTTTGACACACACTTTGCAAATACAACATAACTTTATTATGAATAATATTATTTTTTTATTATTTTTATAATATTTATTTTTATACTTGATTTATAAATAAAAATGATATATGAAAGTAATGAAGCTCGTTAATTGATCACAAATAAGGCATGTATTTTAGTAGTGATGTACTGAAAGTACATTAGAGTACGTTCACTGATAAGTTTAAAGTATAAAGTTTTCTTCCTTAAAATATCTGTAACTTTATACTGTGCGGTGAAATCATGTGAATAAATATGTAAATTTAGTACAGTATTTATAACTAATTATATGTACACAATATACATTGAATTTAGTTTTGCAATATTTTTGTAATCTAATTTAGTAGCTATACTAATTGAGTTTGTTATGAGTCAAACAGATATTTTACTTTTAAGCTATAATCTATATTTGTTACTTCTATTGTTTTCAAACCTAAATTAACATAATGTTATATTATATGTAGATTTATATTATAGACTTAATTATCATTATTCCATATTATTAAGATCGTCCAGATCGATTTGTTTTGACTAGACTATTTTTTGTATGTTATTCACGACTAGTTGCAAAGATTATTTTATATAAACAAATTAAAATGTATTTTCACCTTTATAAATTCATATTATAACTACGGTATTAACTAATTATTGTATTTTAATATTAAAACTTTTATTTCGAAAATCTATATAATTAGTATAATAATATTATATATAATGTGATATTACTTTATATTTATACTAATTAATCAAAATTAATTAAAATTCTAATTGATACAACAATTAGTTTATAACTTGATTAATAGCATTGTAAATGTGATGTAATTGCATAATTGAACACACCAGCAATTACAAAATAACTTGTTTTATCTCTCCCTGAGTGTTACAATTGATTGTAAATATCTTATGATAATATAATTTTTTGCTTAACATTGACTTAATTCTGGCAAATAAGCAAAAATCTTGTTTCTCAGGAGTTTTGTGTTTAATTTATGGCATCTTTCGTACGATATGTCTATATATGTGGGTCTCTATGGGGGGCACATTTATGCTGTGTTTCAAATATTCAATTGCTATATAAGTACTGAAATTCACAATTAATTTTAAAGTTTAGCAAATATTTCTCTCAATTGTCTCGAAAATCAATAAATTATTTTTGTTATTCCCATAACTTTCACAGCTATTGCCACTGTTATTGAAATGTCATTGATTTTCCCATTGTATACAGAATCACACAATTCTGTGTTCATAGTGTGCTAATAGTGAATGAAAACAAGTTATGAATCATAGAAATCATAACAATAATAATAATAAAGGCATTGAAACTAGCATTCAATGGATTCAGTGTTATTCAGCGATGCCCTCAAACTTAGTACTGATTTTCTAGTAACACTTAAATCCGGTTCAATATCTCCACCACTAATCTGATTAGACTTAACACTAAGAATCTGTTGTTCACTCATAGCTTACTGCCCTTTGCCTTACTCTCTCATCCCTCCCATCCCTTTCCATATCCTTATCCCAAATCTCAAATGTGGTACAAATGTGTCATATTCTTCATGGAGAGTAAGAATAATATATTAATACATGTCTTAAGAGATGCTAGTATTTGCTATCAGATGTTCATAAGGCCTGAAAAGTACCAAAAAATGCCCGCAATTTGTCCTTCAATTGGCAATACAGGGGACGGAAGGGGGTAGTGGTGTAGAGGTATAGACGTATAGTATGTCTAATACTGATTACTAGTGAAACCATTCTGAGTATAGCACAACTTAGTGTACTAACATGACAATATATTGTAAGTGTATTATAGTCATATTGCAATATATCAGTGTGGTGAGGTGATGTTGTGAGTGTATGTCGCAATGTGCGTATCTCCCCATCCCACCAAAGTGGGCACACATTGCGCAAAGCAATTTTAATTAACCCAAAACAATTAAAACTTTAAATCACCTTTAAAACCATGCATAATTAGTATAAACAAAACACTTGTTTATGAAATATACGATAATTAAGGACATTATATGCAATATTGATGGCGATAAGTGTATAGTGAGAGTGCATATGAGTGGTAGAGTGGGTGCAAAGGTTTTGTAGCGCCGATAACGTGCTGTTCGTACCTCATGTGTGACATGTCATAGAGTCGTGTATTCTATTCGCTGATAGCATTCACTGCATCCCTATGTCTAATGCAATGCCAGAGACTCTTACACTTGTGTCTCACGTCTTACTGTATATATAATCCGTTGCATCCATTCATAGCATCAGTTGTTTTCATATGATTTGCAATTGAAGTTCACAAACCATTTGTTTATACAAACAGTCGTTATATAAGTGAGACATTGGATTCACATTTGGTTATAACAATTGTATTGATTGACAGTCACTAACGCTAACCACTTGTGACACCATTTGCTGGTATTCTGTATACAAATTCTGCACACATTTTGTCATTGCATTCACGGATTCAGTGGTTATTGTCATAGTATCCCTCAACACATCCAGGTATTTATCGCTGCATTTATGCATATATTTTACTATTAATTGCTATATTAATCATAATTACTGATTGAACCGCTATTATAGCGTATAATGAAACCAATGATAACTAGTAATTGCCATGAATTTCATACATTGAATATGAGTTACAGTTTGAGTGATAATCATGTGATATATTCATTGAAATTATATTCAATTACCTGTCAATGAGTTCATAGATTTTCATAAGAAATATATGAGAATTCTGGACTCATTTCAAATGCTATGCTATGTATGAGTGATAGGTTTGAAAGCATTGACTGAATATTAAGCCATGAATTTGAAGGACGTGTCGATTGAATGGATATTTTAAAGCGGATCTAAATATAGAGACTAAAAGTTTGCATTCAATTCGCCAATCAATTAATGCTTACTATATATACATATATTTCTATTATATGAATGCATTCAATATTATTTTGATATTTACGGTACGAATAGCACGTAAACAACAAAAAAAATACATTCAAAACTCATTTTCATTTAGTTATTCACACAAAAAGTAGTGAGAAAACAGTGAATGAAAATTGCTATGAATTTGTGAATTGAATTGAAATAGCATTGCATTGGATATGTATGTATGGATGCAAAAGCCGGTGCTCTTAAGCATCCGGTTGTCGGCACACATCCAGACCATTGACCAAAATATTTAACATAATTATCACTATCATTATGATTAGCTATAATTTTGACAATCATTTTCTACCTTTACTTACAAAATACTCAATCAATTGCTTTCATTGACAGTAATTTTTGCTGAACTTTTTTTTAAAATTTTATTTTTTCCTCTCATTTGTTGCCAAATGTTTGTCAAAATGTATGTTTGGATCACATCGTTAAGGAGCTATCAGTTATCTTATCCCCTGTTAATCCGTTACACCATTTATGTGTCCATTTATTTCTGTAAGATTTGGCTCCGATTAAGAGGTGTCTAAAGATTTTTGACATTTATTTTTCTATATATACCGTACTTTTCAATGTGTTGTCGACTTTTATGTCATAGTTTTTTTAATCGTGAATTACTTTCACGTCTTTTACGACTTGATAACCCGCTATCAGTATATGAGTTATAAATTATTTTTCACCCGATGTTTATCTATGAATTCAGTCAATTTTATTGGCTTTTCAATTATCGATTCATTTTTATGGCAACTTTTCATAGAAATTCATACAATCTGTAGTCGTGTAGCAAATGTCACAAGTTTTCTCTCTCTCACTAATCATACGCTATAATTAGAGTTGAGTCTCAAAATTTTATGTGAGAATTATGTATACTTGACTTTTACTTTACTATTAGATTAATTCACAAAGTAAAGATACGTGATGTCTATTCAGCTCTAATCCATGTTTTCCTTACCGTGGATTATAAGTTAGCGGCCAGGAGCCGGAGATCACTGACATTATCGATGGCATCAAAGGCCCCAAACGGGAGTTCAAAGTGGAGATCGTTTGGCGCAACGTTGCCATCATGTCTGGCCTCCATTTGGCCGCTCTCTACGGATTCTACCTGTGCTTTGGGTCAGCCCACTGGCAGACTATAGCTTTCGGTATGTCATACGAAGTGTATATATGTTTTACGAGACAAATCGCTAATGAATGGTGTGTTTGGTGTTTAGCCGTATTCCTGTACGTAATCTCCGGTCTGGGCATTACTGCCGGCGCTCACCGGCTGTGGTCACACCGCGCATACAAAGCCAAATGGCCCCTAAGAGTCATCCTCTGTATCTTCAATACGATTGCATTTCAAGTGAGCCTTCATTTGCATTGAATGTGTGTTTTCAGTGAATAATAACCATTGGTTTTGCGCAGAACTCAATCTACGAGTGGAGTCGCGACCATCGGGTGCACCACAAGTACAGCGAGACGGACGCCGACCCCCACAACGCCAACAGAGGCTTCTTCTTCGCGCACTGCGGATGGCTGTTGTGTCGCAAACATCCCGATGTCATCGAAAAGGGCCGAAACGTGAGCTGCGAAGACCTGCTTCAGGACCCACTCGTATCTTCGCACACGTCGGTTGGCTTCTCACCCGAAAACATCCCGATGTCCTCATTAAAGGCAAACAACTCGACTGTCAGGATATACTCAACGATCCGGTCGTATGGGTTCAGAAAAAGTATGATTTCATAGATTGCGTGACAAAAGTGAAATCAAATGATAACTCTTAATGTTTCACTATTTTGTGGTCAGATATTATCCGCTGTTTTTTCTGGCATTTTGCTTCGTATTGCCCACAATGATTCCGGTCTACTTCTGGTCGGAGACCTGGTCCAATTCATTGATCGTAGGCGTCCTCTGGAGATACTGTACAGCATTGCACTGGTATTTAGAAATTATTTGTTACACAAAGTTAACATTTTCAGTAAATCAATGAATTTGTTTCGCAATTATTACCAGCACTTGGTTTGTCAACTCTGCTGCCCATATGTTTGGAGACAAACCGTAAGCAAATGAAAAGCATTTCTGGAGATATTTTCAAAAACTAAACTCTAATTTACGATATGTTTAGATATAACCCGCGAATAGAGCCGCGAGAGAACCCTTTCGTATCATTCGGCGCCTTCGGGGAGGGTATGTGTCGACTAAACTTATTGTTTTGAATGAAGTTTTGAAGTTTTTATAAATGTATTTCTACATATTAATGATTTCAGGCTTTCATAACTATCACCACGAGTTCCCATTTGACTACAA